GATCAGGCACAAGAAGTTGTCAGCTGTGTCGAGACCCGTCAATCGATGAAGACGGAGTTGCATTTAGTGACAGCGAGATCCTTGGGAACCTGGAGAAGAGCACTTTGGAGTGGGCACAGAAGAGAATCAGAGAAGAAATGATGACAATGAATATAGCCAAGTGTTTTGAGGAGCTTAGTTATCAAGGGGAATAACGTCTAGCAGGAAAGGAGGCCAAGAGCAGGTTTTGTATTTTTTTAATAGAGAGATAAATAGCATGATTTGTATTCCAACGAGATGATCTAATAGCAAAAATAAATAAAGAAAATCAAAATGATTGATAGAGCAAGGGGGACGTTCTCGGTGCTTTGTCCGCAAGTGCTCCGGGAAATGTCATTCGTACCATTAGGTTCAAGATACTACTATAGTATCTTATTTCTTAACACGCACCCCCCCCCACTTTTTTTTCTAAGCATTCTTTTCAGGGCACAGAGAGCCACACTGTGACCCCCCTGCAGCCATTTCTCTATTGAAGGAACGCAGCAAAAGCCATCACAGATAAAGCATTGGCTTTACTTCGCAGTAGAAGGAAGTGACATTCCACACCACCCACACCCAGCTCCTCCTCTTTTCCAGGCCTTAGCTCCCCTTGTGTGGATTTACTGGCTATTAGACTGGAGAAGGAACCGAACTGAACCCCCAGGACCACGTATTGTGTGGGTGACTTTTACCGAGCGCTGGGCCAGTTACCACGATAAGCACTTTGCAGATGCCCTGTTATTATTACAACTCCTGTTATTATCCTCATTTTACAGGTGAGGAAACTGACTTACCGAGGATGATAATCCGCTCAGACACCTGGGTAATGAGGAAAGATGTAGGAGTCGAAGCCCGCTGGGTTTCTAACCGCGTGTTCACGCGCAGTGTTCACCTGCCCTTAGAATATCGCCGTGTTCTGCAGCTCCCGGCTGAGGCCCGGGCAGGAGGCGCTTCTCTCTGAGGCGGGGAGCCTCGTCTCAAGGGGAGGGCGTCGTGGCGTCAGCCACTCTGGGAAGAGGTAGTCTCAGGTGGAAAAAAACATTTTTAAAAAATTAGATCTGAAAGTAGAGCTCAGATAAACAGAGAAGGAGATTTTGCATCTTTATTTGCATATCCCTCTCTGAATGTGGATGCTGGAAGCAAACTAAAAATAAAAAACAGAAAGGCTTCTCCGAAAGGACCGAGAATAGAGGTTAAGAACAAGGAACCCAAGCAGCTGAGACAAGCTAATCTCAAGGAAAGTGTTTCCAACAAGCCCATTTATCCATATCTATCTACATCCGGAGCCCTCTGCTCATTTCCCAGTCTGTTTCCCTTGTTATCTGGTGCGATCTCGTCGACTGCGGTGGCACCTGCGAGGCTGAGCATGGCTGGTCCTAGACTTGACCTCCATTCCCGCACGGCCGCCTCCGGCCAGGTTCGCCAGGCGGTCCTCGGCGTGCTTTTCCCGAGCCCCAAGGTGGCCTCGCGGCATCCGTCTTACCCGGTCTGATGTCGAAGATGTAGCAGCACCTCATTTTCCCGCCTCAGTTGTGGCAGGTGTCAGAGGAAAACAGTTATAGATTTCCTTTTAATTATTACTAGACATTTTTTTCGATTGATTGGGGTGACATTGATTAATAAAATCATACAGGTTTCAAGCGTACAATTCAATATCACATCATCTGTATATTGCACTGTGTGTTCGCCACCCAAAGTTAAATCTTTTGTCACCATATCTTTGACCCCCTTTACTCTAATCTGCCCCCCACTCCTTTCCGTCTGATAACCCCTGAACTGTTTTCTGTGTCTGTGAGTTTTCGTTTGCCTTGTTCATCTGTTGCTTTCGGTTTTATATCCCGCATATGAGTGAAATCCCACGGTTCTCAGCTTTGTCTGTCTGACTGACTTCGCTTAGCATGCGTGATAATCTAAACTTTGAAAGTTTCTTTTATTTCACTAACGAAACTCATTTCTTTTTGTGCTGCTACAATAATACCAAACTGGCAGCTGTCGCTGGCTTCGGGGGCTGCCAGCCTGGCGGTGCTCTCCCTCCCAGGCTCCCATCCGTGTAATATGGACCTCCCTCTTAGGAAGAAGGTTCTGGGGAGGAAGGAGGTGGGCTTTTCAGGCGTGGGGTGGAGCAGGGAAGGCACGGAGGGTTGTCACACACGCAGAGGAACATCGGACCCCAACCTCAGCCCCGTCACCTTGATCTACAGTAATGTAAGTCTAACTGCTAGATTTTAAGCTTTCGAGGGCAGGGCCAATGCTTTCAGTAAGTATCGTTGAATAAAGCTGGACTGGAGTGAATAAATGAGGATTTAGCCGAACCTCCTCTTCCACAGTCTTTTGTAGCCATCACGGAAGGTCGCGGAGGGAGGCACTTGAGCACAAGGAAATAGTTTCCTTTTCAGAAGTATTACTCATTCTACTTTTGCAAGGTCACGATGGTGTACTGTTAACTGTTTTAATTTAGACAGATGTGTCTCAAGGCGTCCGAGACAAGGCATGCATGCTGAACTGCAACTTTAACAGGGAGGTAAACGTGGTTCTAAGTAATCGATCCTTCTTGCCGATAGGTTATCCGGTCCTTTTTTCTCCCCATCACTATTCTTGGACTACCTGTTCCATCTTTGGCTGAAGAATATGGGACCTTTACTTCCCCCATAAGGATGCCAGCAGTAAAAGGTCCCAAAAGATGACCCAGTTTTCTCTCTGTGACGCTGGCCTCCCTGACAAACCGAAAATGTGTAAACCACCACCACCATCCCCAGTTGTTCTAGCTCTCTCCGTCACGTGTAAGCAGTACTTTTCTTTCCCGAGAAAGGGAGGGAGGGAGAATGGTCTTTTTTGGTTTATGTTGAATTAGAGGCAAAGGCAGAAAAGCAGCAGCCAAGCACTGCCCTGCCTGGCAGTGCCCCGCTGCCTCAGCCCTCCGTGCCCGTGCGTTCTGGCTACTGGAATGCACCCCTCTCCTCCCTGGCTCACCTGGGAAGCTGCAGTCAGTCCTTCAGAAGTCACCAGGTCTGAGGTGGCTTTCCCCGCCATCCTCCTGCCCGAGCAGTCAGTGTCTTCCGTTCCGTGACACCTTGACACACCTCTCTGACAGTGTTTATCGCCTTTTATGGAATTATTCCTTTACACATTTATTTCCCCCACCAGACTGAATTCCCTCAGAGCAGAGATCTCATTTCATTCATTCGTTTATCCCAGCAGCTCACACGTAGTAGCTGTTAAGTTAGCGCCGCCATATCAAATCGGTATGGAACTTACTATTTATATCTGTAAGGTAAGTTAGGCTGAGATCGTGAGAGAGGGTACAGAATTTGGTACAGAGTAAATTCCAAGACATGCTTCGGCCTTCCAGACAATGGTTTTGTCATTTAGAGGTGTAAATTATAAGCAAAGCTACATGGGCTTCTAAGGACACAGAGAGGAAAACCTGCCTATGGAAATGGTTCAGCGAAGCAGACCACGGGGAGGAAGCCTTCAGGGGGCTGGTGCTGTGTCGTATGCTCTGCCGGAAGGACTGGGCTTTCTTGAGCTCTTCGTGCACGTGTGGTCGCCACGCTAAACATCTGTCGGGAGTCAGACAGTGGGAGCCAAGCACTCTGACACTTATGGAATAGGGGATTTATTTTAGGAATTAGACCTCGCGCAATTTCAGGCAAAGATGGGGAAATAGAGCCAGTGGGGAGAGTCGGAAGTTCAGGAGTATCACTGACGAGCCCTCCTGACATGATGGCGAGGACGGACGGGTCGGAGCTGGCACGGCCTCGGGAAGCTGCCCACGTCCAGCGGCTGGAGTGGGACCGTGCCGGGGTGTGGGGCAGAGTTCTGGGAGTCGGCGAGAGGCCGTTGCTCCGCGCAGCTGCAGCTCTGTAATTTCGCCTCCGACCACTTGGTAGTGAGCTCAGGTCGCTGGTCAGCACGGCTGGTCGTTCCGGACACGGAGCAGGACAGAACGAGGCCTGAAACTTCGCGGCCTTTCCCCGTCTCACTCTGACTCTTTGATCACAATGACCTTAAGAAAGTCATGGCTGCTACTTCCACCTTCCGAATCCCACACAGATCTCTGTTTGGCCCACAACCGTACCAGCAAATGGGTTCTGGGAAACTTAACTCTTATTTAGGCAAGTCGGCGCAGTACAACACCACCACAATAGACCTCTAAATTTTGTAAATTGAGTTTAATTCCAATTTTAGAAGCAATACTCACTTGAACAGGAAAAAGCGGAGCTGAGAAACGTGTACAGCCTCATAATGTTTTATAAAGCGTTCTCAGGCGTTGCCTAGTAACACACCTTACCAGCACGCAGCTCAGAAACGGGAAGTGTTGGTTGTAGATGCTGACTACTGCAGAAAATTTTAAGATGACAATATAAACGTTCCTTTGTCTTTTGATGGTCAGCATCAAAAAGTCATCTCTCGGTCTTCTGAAAACAGATCTAAGGAGAAAAAGGGTTGTACTGTGCCGAGAACTTCTTACGTGTCTTACTTCGTTTAATTCTTATACCAAACCTGTGAGGCTCCCAAAAGTGAAGTAACTCAAGACCAAGTTTATATAAAAAGGTCGAAAATTCAGCCAAGAATTTACAGTAATTTATATCTCGGTATTTTTCTCTTGACTTAGTTGGTTATTTACTCCTTTTTTTAACTTCTTCTTGAAGAATGGATAACGTATATCAAAGTACATAAAGTGAACTAATCTTAATACACTCAGTGAACTTTTACGTATCTGGGTGTCTATGTATACATCCATATAAATTTATGAAATATTTTCTAATACCCTTGACTGAATTTCCTCAGGCCCTTTGTATTTCCTAGATAAACTGCGTTATATGTTTATATTTTCATTACATGGACGATGTAATTCTCAGAACAGTGATCGGGGGGAGCGAACCGAGCAGTAGAGTGAGCATGTTAAATAGCGTGCCTCATAATGCTTCACATCGTCGATACTTATCTCACTTTCTCTTTCTGCTTTTACCCTAAAACAGGTAATCAGATCCTGTCCCTGGGGACCCTCTCAAAAGATCAGATTTATCCAATGAAACTCAAGGGCATCTCCATCTGCTATTCAGCTCTCAAATCTGCCTTGTGTGGAAATTATGTCAGCTTTGGCGTCTTCAAGTTGTATGGGGACAACCATTTTGACAACGTACTCCAGGCCTTTGTCAAAATGCTGCTGTCGGTGTCCCACAGTGACTTGCTAGTAAGCATTCACGTACCATGGGAGTCTTTGTGTGAAATGTGACATCACCACCACAGGCTCAGAATTGTTAGAACGAAGCCCAGGGAGCGAGAATAGCATCAGAACATTCGATATTTTAGGACAGCATCTTGACTGAACTTACGGAATTTGAACTATGGTGGCTGTGTCTATGTAATTAAAGGTGCAGTTCTGAAAACTGAGCTACCACCTTCCAACTGGTCATCCACAGAGCTCCAGGTTCTGCATCTGGAGAAAATATAATTAGCAATTTCAACTAATTGCTTACACTTGTACTTAAAATTTTAAAAAGGTCTGCGTTTCCTGCAGCGGAGAATGCGGGGTTAGCTGCCTGGTCTTCTTTCTTCGATTCCTCTCTGTCTACTTCCCCCGCCGATGGGCCTTCATTTCTAATAAAATTCTGCTGCAGTGGACAGGGAGCTGAACTGGAGGTTGAGCGACCTAGTGTGTAGTCTCAACTATGCTACTCCCTCGTCATTTACCTCGAATAAATCACCTTCTCTTATGTCTCGAGGCTTTCATTTCCTCAACTTGAAAATGAGTAAATTAAACAAAGTGATCTCTAGGTCCCTTCTCTACTCTCCCAGCTAGTTTCTGTGATTTATGTCAGTGGTTTTCAAACTTTGAGGCCATCAGAATCACCTGGAGTGCTTGTTGGAAATTCAAATTTCCAGGCTCCTCCACTGAGCTGTGTCCTTATCGGGCATTCTTTTGAAACATCTGTGCCTGATTACCTGACCTCTAATCTGTGCCCAGAGTGGTTGTAGTAATTTCTTGGGTAACACAGCCAAATTCATGCTCAGGCTTTCCCACCTGCTCCCCACCTGAGGTTAAAGGTGTGAGCTGGGGGCCCTAGCCTGTGTGAGACATGCTGTGTGGCATTGTAAGGGACTCGTGGTACCCTCTTCCACCTTTCTGAATTGGTCTTAATAGAACCAGATCTCAAGCCAAAGTTCTTAAGCCTCTTTATAGTAGAATGGAATGCTCATTGAAGGCTGCCTGTGTGACAGAAAGTACAGAGTAGAAATTTGAGTCAGATCAGACATGCCAGTCTTACTACCCGCTCCTGGAATGCCTCACCCAGGACCACATGAGCTTCATCAACAGTATTCCAGTCAAGAAAAATTTGAGTCAGTTACAGCCACCTCATTGAGGGGAGTCTTCACTACAGTTGAGGTCCACCAAAAGAAAACTAGTATGGTTCTAGGAATTTCTCTAATCTTTTTTCTAAGAGAAATCTTTTTTTCAAGCTTCTAATTCATTAATTCTCAAACCTGAGGGTACAAAGGACTTCCCTTAGCATAGATGTTAAAAATGCCCATTTTTGGACCTCTTTCCAGAGCTTTTCATTTAGTGAGTCTGGAGTGGAGATCAGAGAACTGTATTTTTAACAAGCTCCCCATGTGATTCTTTTGGAAATGGTCTTAATCTCCCTTTCAGAAATACTGTTCTGGTTTATTTCTCTTAGGAGTGTGCTTTTTTTTTTTTGTTATTGGTTTGAGTCTCATTTGAGGTTTTCCAGGTATTTTTCTCATGCACTTACCTTTTGCCTGTAGTGTATGGTACATATTAAGCCATTTATCAAATTATGATTTAGGTAAATGGGTTGGCATCGTGTAAATACAGCAGACTATGATGCCAAATCCTGTTATAACAGCCAACTTTTTTGTATTAAAAAGAAAAAAATGTTGCCTAACCACCGTTAAACACTATTCAGCGTAACAGTATTCCAGTCAAGAAAAACAAGTCACAGTCTTCTAAATTGCATACTACAGAGATTTTACTGGCAAAGTGTTAGCCATATAAGGTAAAGTTGAAATTACGTACTATGCTATAGCTTCAAATTGGGATTTCTGGAGATCAAGAGGTTCCTATTAAACCCCTTTACATGCTGAATTGAAAATCATTACGTTTGTTTCATATATTTATTTTACATATATGTTAAGTAAGTTTACCATTGCCAACATCATAAATGACAGTTTCCACTGGATAGTAGCCCGGCTTTCACTCCCCGTGGCTTGACGGTTAGTATTTCTGTGTTGTAGCAATATCGGAAACTGAGCCAGTCTTACTACCCGCTCCTGGAATGCCTCACCCAGGACCACATGAGCTTCATCACCAACTTGGAGCCTCCTGTCCTCCTGTACGTCCTCACATCTATCTCAGAGGGCCTCACTACTCTTGGTAAGTGTCCTGGAGAACATCGTTTCCAGAGGAAAAACTTGACTGTGGTCTCTTAATGTATGTGCTTACCCAGATGACCATCCTACAAAGTGGGGAAAGGATCCTGTACCCAAATTGAAACATTATAACTATTACCTGCACGTGAGAAAATGCCTTTTTGTTTGTTTTGGTTGGTTTATTTTGAATCAACTTTATTAACATATAATTATATGCAGTAAAAATTGTTGATTTTAAGTGAACAGTTCAGTGAGCCCTGGCAGACGTATATACATAGCCACGAACCACCACAGCCAACAGCCAAGATGCAGAACATTTTCATCACCATCAAAAGCTCCCTCGTGCCCCTCTCTAATCAGTCCTTCCCCCAGCCCAGCCCCAAGGAACCGCTGATAACTTCCTCTCACTATGGATTGCCTTTTCCAGAATTTCATATAAGCGGAATCATGGGATATACAGTCCTTTGTGCCTGGCATCTTTCATTTAGCATAATGCCTTTGAGACTCATCCATGTTGTTTTGTGAATCAGTTAGTTCATTCCTTTCGCTTGCTGAGTATTATTTCATCATATGGATCGCCACAGTTCGCTTGTATATTCACCAGCTGTTGAGCATCTGGGTTGTCGCCATTATTCAGTTATTTTGAATAATGCTGCTATGAACATTGATGTGCAAGTCTTCCTGTGGACAAAATATTATTTCTCTGGGGTAAATACCTAGGAATAGGGTTTCTGGGTTATATGCTAAATATATTTTTAACATAAAAAACTGCCAGACTGTTTCCCAAAGTGAATGAACTGTTTTGCTCCCCCTGGCAATGGATAAGGGCTCCAGTTTCCCTATATCCTCCCTAACACGTGCTGTTATCAGTCCTTTTAATATTAACCATCCTGGTGGAAGGGAAATGGGATCTCATTGTGGTTTGAATTTGCATTTCACTAATGAATCATGATTTGAGCATGTTTTCATGCTTATTTGCCATTCATGTATCTTCTTGGTGAAGTGTTTGTTCAGATCCTTTACCCATTTTTTAACGGGGTTGTAGACCTTTTAAGAGTTTGTTATATATTCTGGGTACAAATCTTTTATCAGATATGTTTTGCAAATCTTTTTTTCAGCTTTGGCTTGTCTTTTTATTTTCTTAACAGTATCTTCTGAAGAGCAAAAGTTTTTCATTTTAAGGAAGTTCAATTTGTTATTTTTTTCTCTTACGGTTCATGTCTTTTGGGTCCTATCCTAAGAAATCTTTATGTAACCCAAGGCCATAAAGGTTTTCCCTGGGTTTATTTATTTATTTATTTATTTTTTCTCTAGAGGTTTTGTAGTTTTAGCTCTTATTTTTAGGTTTATAATCTATTTCAATGAAATTTTTCAATATAGTGTTACGAAATAAAAGCTGAGATTCTTTTTTCAACATATGGTGATTCGATCGTTCTAGCAACTTCTGTTGAAGAATGTCCTTTATCTATTGGATTACTTTGTGCCAATTCTCTGCAGTCTTAACTCTACAGAAAGTCTTAAAATCAGATAATATAGCCCCTCATTTTCTTTTCCTTTTTAAAAATTGTCTTGGCTCTTCTGGGTTCTTTGCCTTTTTATATAAACCAGAGGGTCAACTTACCAGTGTCTCCTTTTAGAAAAAAAGATGAGGAGGGGAATTTTGGTTGGGAGTTGCATTGAATCTCTAGCCCAATATGGAGAGAATTGATATATTAACAACATTGAGTGTTCGATTCCTGAAAAGGGCATATCTGTCCATTTATTTAGATCTTCCATAAATTTATCAATAGTATTTTTGTAGTTTTGAATGTATGGATCTTGTACATATTTTGTTATATTTATGACTAAGTATTTTGTTTTTTTATGCTCTTATAAATGGTATTGAATTTCAGTTTCCTCTTGTCCTTTGCTACAGTGTAGAATTGCAATTGTATGTTGACCTTGTATCTTGGAACGTTACTAAACTCATTAATTCTGGTAGCTTTTTGTAGATTTCTTAAGATTTTCTACATATCTATGTCTGCAAATAAAGATGGTTTTACCTCTTCCTTTCCAATCTGAATGGCTTTTTTTCTTGTCTTATCACTTTGGCTTGAATCTATAGTACAATGTTGAATAGAAGTGATAATAGCAAATATTCTTTTCTTGTCTCCAGTGTTATGGAGAAAACATTCATTCTTTCACCATTCAAGATAATGTTAGCTCTAGGTTTTTCACAGACACTCTCTATCTTGTGGAGGAAATCCTCTAATATTGTGTTTTTCTGAGAATGTTATCATGAATGGGTGTTGAATTTTATCAAATTCTTTTCTACATCTACTGAGATCATCATATGGTTTTTCTTTTTGGGTCTGTTAACACATTACATAATGTTAATGATCACACTGATGTATATTTGAATGTTAAACCAACCTTACATTCCACACTTGGTTATGATAGATTATCTTTCTTATATATAACTGGATTCAACTTTCTCAAATTTTGATATAGACTTTTTATATCTATATTCATTACAGATAGTGATATGTTCTTCTATAGTTCTTTTAAAGTTTTCTGTTCTCATATCTTTGCCTTGTTTTAGCATCAGTCTAGTGCCCCCTTAAAATGTGTTGGGAAATGTTCCCTCTTCTTCTATTGTCTTAAAAATTTTGTTTAGAATTGTTATTAGTTCTTCCTTAAATGTTTTGTAGAATTCTCTAATGAAATTATTAGGCCTAGACTTTTTTGTTAGAGAGCCTTTAACTAAAGATTAAATTTCTTTAATGGATATAGGACTATTCAAGTTATCTATTACACCTTGAGTAGTATTTGGTAGTTTATATCTTTAAAAGAATTTGTCCATTTTCATCTAAAGTTCATCTGACATTATTGACATAAAATTGTTCATAATATCCCCTTGTTATACAGTTTGATTTCTGTAGGATCTGTAGTGATGTCTCCTCTTCATCCTAGATGTTGGCAATTTGTATATGCTCTCTCTTTTACTTTTGTTGATCATTCTGGCTCTAGGTTTATCGATTTTATTGCAAAGAACCAGCTTTTGGTTTCACTGATTTCTCTCTATTATTTTCTCATTTTTTATTTCATTGAGTTGATTCATGATATTATTTCCTTCTTTTAGTTTACTTTGCTTTTCCTTTTCTAGTTGTTTCAGGTAAAAGCTTGGATCACTGATATTTGACCTTTCTTCTTTTCTAATATACATATTTAATACTTTAAACTAAGCATATGCTTTAGCTTTACCTCACAAGTTTTTTATATTTATATTTTTTATATTCAGTTAAAAAATATTTTCTGATTGCCCTGCTGATTTCTTCTTTTACCAGTGGATTGTTACTGAGAAGCACATTGTTTAATTTCCAAGTATTCAGAGGTGTTCCCGATATCTTTCTGTTATTGATTCTAGTTTAGTTCTATTGTAGTCATAGAATATGCTCAACGATAGTTATAACTTTTATATTTATTGAGTCTTTTTTGTGCTCCGAAATACAGTGAGTGTCCTCTGGGCAATTGAAGTGAATGTGTGCTCCATCGTTGTTGGAAACAGCATTCTATTTAAGTGTCAGTTCTAATTGATAAAGTTCAGATTTTCTATATTCTCACTAGTTTCTTATTTGCTAGTCTTCCGCTTGTTCTAATAATTACCAAGAAGGAAATGCTAAAGTCTCTAACTATAATTATGAATTTGTCCATTTTTCCTTTCGGTTCTATCAGTCTTTATTTAAAGTATTTTGAAGCTCCATTATTAGGCGTATAAATATTTTGGATTGTTGTGTCCCCTTGATTAATTTACCTCTTTATCATTATGACGTGACCTTCTTTATCTCTGGGACATTCTTTCCTCTGAAATCTACTTTGTCCGATATTCCTAGCTTCTTCAGCTTTTTTAAAATTACTGTTAGCCTCTTTTTTTATCATTTCACTTTTAATCTTTCTGTGTCTTTATATTTAAAGTTGGTTTCTTGTAGCCAGCAGGTATTTTCTATTGCTGTTGTAACAAATTTTTACAAACTTGGTGGCTTAAAACAACATAAATTTATGTTATAGTTCTTTAGGCCATAAATCTGACATGGGTCTCACTGGACTAAAATCAAGGTGTCAGCCGAACTGTGTTTCTTTCTAGAGGTGAATTTATTTTCCTGCCCTTGCCAGCTTCTAGAGACCAGCTACGTTCCTTAGCTCATGGCTCCTCTCCTCCATCTTCAAAGCCAGCAACAATTTACCTCTCTGACCATTATTCCATAAGTACACCTCCCTCTGATTCCGACCCCTTCCACCTCTCTCTTTCACTTTTAAGGATTTGGGATTACACTGAGCCCACCCAGATAACCCTGGACAGTCTCATCTGCAACCTTAATTCGTCCTTGTCATGTAACCCCGCACATTCACAGGTTCGGAGGAATGGGACATGGACATAATTGCCTATCACATAACATATAGTTGGGTCACGTTTTTATATCAAATCTGACTGTGCCTTCTAATTAGTGTTTCGACCATTTACATTTAATGTAACTACCAGTATATTTGAGTTTAAACTTCAATATCGCTAATTGTTTTTCCTTTATCCTATCTGGGCTGTGTTCCTTTTTTCCATTTTCCTGCCTTCTTTTGGTTTAGATTAATTGAATGTTTATGAGTACATCTTACATCCCCTTGGAATTTATCGGCAATAGTTCTTAATTTTAGTCAGACTCTAGGGTTTACAATCTATACCTTCAAATAATAACATCACAGTTTGCCTCCAGATAATTACAGTCTGCCTCTCTTCCTCTGTCTCCATTCCTCCTGGCACTCCAGTTAACATGTGTGTTACATATCTCTGTTACATTGTTCAAAGCCTACAGAAGACTCCTTTGCAGATCTCCAGAATTCTCTCCTCGCATAGCTCCCACTCTCCAATACTCTGTCCCACAAGTTCTAGCTGCCTCCCCAAATTCCAGCTGTTTCTCTTCAAGTCGGTGAGACCACTGGCTTTGTTTGGGTTCCCACTCCCTGGCCTGTAGG